AACATACACGTGTGGGGGGCACCATGAGGGCAACAAAATCCGCACCATTGCGGCAGAGAATAGGATGTCGCCGTTGGGCGGCGTGTGCTGTGCTGCTCGTGCTCTTCAGGCTGTTCGTGACGGTCATGGTGGCGCTGCGGCGTGCCTTGCTGTTCTCGATGTGGACTGTGAGGGTGCCTACGCCGATGGAGACGACAATGTTGGTGATGAGGACGTCCTAGGTGTTCTCGACGTAGATGTCGTCGGTGTTGGGGCTCAACGCCAGGGAGCTGATGGAGAGGCAGCCTCAAGCATTGCTGTTCTCAGAGGCTGTCTACGTGCATGCTGCCACAACTGTCGAACCGGAAGTGGAACTCTGAGCTGTTCTGCACCTTTCACAAACATTGGCCATTCTTTTCTTTTCTTTTTGCAAAAGATCAAATCTTTTATTAAGGTTCACCGGAAGTACATAACATCTCAAAAATAGTAAAACATCAAGATCCCAATCGGACGGTCAGTACCGCAGCCAGAACGAGCCGTTGTCACCGGTCTACTATTGGAGCCGGCTTGACTTTGAGCCCTTGCATAGATCTGAAGCATCTAGCACCAAATCTCGCCATGTGACGAGAAACCTAACCCCATCGCCCCATTGAGACAGCAGGAATCTACAGCGGAGCTCACGCCGACTATGTCTATACGGATGAACTCGAGGAGAATCGGAACCTGAAAGACAAACTCAAAGAAGAAGCACCACCACACACCTGAGCATCGCGCTTGCGAGGACTAACAAATTCTAACCTAAACTGCTTACCGAAGCAGATGTGAGGGGATTCTCCTCCCTGCCATTGGCGCCCGGAGCGGTGGGCAGGGGAAGGCAAACCCATAGGCTTGCTAGTGAACTTTAGAGGGGAGAGTTTACCCTAGTCGCCTAGGGTTAGGGGAGAAAAAGAGAACAAGATGCATTGGCCATTCACAGTAGCAAAAAAATCTACATACCTACAACAATTCATCCATCCATTTAGCAATGATATTGTTTGTACCATCCGACTAACATGATAAGGCATTGATGTTGAAGAACTTCGTCGTCTGTGTGGTGTCATGAGATGACTGATGTGGATATGGTCATTGTTATAATTTGCCGATCATGGATCGGATCACCTTAGACTGTTTTTTTCCTCGCCTACGCATAGCTTTGATCTTATATGATATTGCTATTGCCCTTGTGTTTTTGTGTGTGTGCGTTGATGTCGCCTGTGTGCACCTTGACTATGCAAAGGCCAGACGTGTGCTCTTAAGGTATGTATTCACTTCAATCTTGATGCACCTTTTTGAGCCAATAAAATTCACCCTTGTCGAATCTGGTTAACATGATACTATGTGGACCATTTGACTCTTATCATTTGATTCAAAGGATTCTAACAATGTAAAAAAACACGAAAAGTAAAGTAATTGCAATGGCGTCTCAGTTAATCGTATATTATTTTTTATCTTATTTTTGCAAAAATGATCGGATCTATTATAAAAGTTTATTGGAAGTACAAATCATCTCAAACATAATAAAAATTACATCAAGATTCTAACACACCGAACAATCACTAATGCCGCCAGAATGAGGCTGCTGACGTGTCACTGTCGCTGCTCCCCTACCGGAGCCTGATTGACTTTGTCGATGACAACCAGAAAGTCTTCATGCACGCGCCCTTAAGGGCAAGCACCCTTGAGCCGCAGTCGTCGCTATTTAACCCTTACATAAATCTGAAGCACCTGACACCAAATCTCGTCACATGACGAGAAACCCTAACCTTCACCGCCCCAAGGAGACGACAGGAGTCTAAACCGGAGCTCCGTCGACTATGTTCGAACGGACGAACTTGAGGAGGATCGAGGCCCAGAAGACAAACTTGAAGAAGAGACACCGTCATCCGCCCGAGGACTAAAAAAATGCTAATCTAAACTATTAACCGGAGCGGAGGCATCGGGATTCTCCTCTCTGCCACCGGCCGCCGAAGCGATAGGTAGAGGAGAGGTGCATCATCAGGCTCGCTGATGAAGTCTTGAGGGAAATTTTGCCCTAGCCACCTAGGGTTAGGAGACGAAAGGAGAGGAAGTAAGAATATAATGCTACATTATTGAGCACCATAGATTGCACTGAACAAACATTATAGAAAATAAATTAAATCATGCAAATGGAACCACCTCATTTTTAAACGGAAGAGACCGCCCTGTACGCTTAGTAAAATAGTGAGGTGAAATAAAAAGAGACATCGTGAAGAGCAGGAGGCCCTGTGCAGGTGGTGAAAATGAATAAATAGCCCTTTTCCGAAACTTCAACGCAAAATTATCCTCTTCAACACAAAATTATCCTAGTCTAAAAATATTTCATAAAGTGACCCTTTACATGACCCCGAGGCTAGTGCGTCATGCTATTTAGCATGGCGTCGTAGCCCGGGGCGCCATACTAGATGTCGCTACCATGACACCTAGCCCAAGGCATCATGCTCTCTCCCCGAGCGTCATGCAAAAAAAAAAGGCGTTTTATAATATATTTTTAGATTGAGTTCATTTTGTGTCGAAGTTTTAGAAAAGAGTCAGTTTTGTCCTTGCACCGGGTCAGCGGATCCACTCTGTCAGACCGAGAACAAGTGCTTGCCTCAAACCTGCAAATTGCTGCCATGGAAACACTTTCTTTTTTCTGTTTCATATTCCTGGAGGATCCCCTTCTTATGCATGTCAGTGAAGCATGCAGTGACAAGACAGGTTCACACCAAGCATGCAACTCTTTTTTTTTCGAGACAAACAGCCATGTACGTATTACTCACTGTCAGCATGAGAATCATGCTGGATACAGGCATTTAGGAATACAGGAACCTGATACATCCAAATACCCACAACATTCGATTTGGAGGCAGTTTTGGCTGTGTAGTGAGCAGCCATTTCGGCCTCTCTTCTAACATGAGTAAGCTCAAAAGATATACACTCCATAATAAGATCTTGGATTTGATACAACATAGGGAGCATACACGATCTATTAACGTTCCTGCTACTCCACAAACTAATCAACATAGGCAAGAGTTTCCATAATCACCTTCAGCAGGTTCAGGTCGCACCCTAGATCTGCTCCGTCCCCGCAAGCAAGAGCTTCAGCAGTGATGATATTAGGGACTATGGAGAGGTATACCATTTGTTCCTTGTTGCAATAACCTGATTACCCCTGTGGCTCCTTGTTGATTATCCAAAATTCCAAATTGAAAGATGGATCAACATTCACCTTTACAAAACCTACAGGGGGGCGTTTCCACTTAATGATTCTAGTTTCTTCTTTCTCCTTTGCATCAGAATTTGATGTTTGGATCATATCTGATGCCATCTCCCAGGCTCATCAGCATGCTTGTGAGATGTTCATGGTAGTCTCCCCATGGTATCTTCTATTTCTGAGGGTCCAGTTCGTCCACATGCCGCAAAGGATAGCACAACAGAGCTCCTGTGGACAAAAAGCATTATCGACCATATAATTCTTTAAGAGATTTCCAAAAACATTGGGCAAACACCAAGCATGCAACTGATGCTCTTTTCCCCGTATTTGGCTTCCTCTGAAAACTGCAGATTGCGTATGGACGTGCAAAAGCCTGTGAGAACGATCTGACTTTTGAAGTATACCAATGCATCATGTCTCGCAGTTCCAGTACTTGCATCAAGAAACCAGGGAGGCTGCTAGGACTATGGACATGGAGCAAACCAGAGCCGAAATGAAAGTGAGGCTAGATACAAATCCTGTGTGCGCCTCATTGCCACAGGGTATGCGCCACGTGGCTTTCTCCACAGGCATCGCGTCGAGATTCTGGAGGACACACAGGCAGGAATTAGGGTGGGTTTCCTTTCTTCTGTAACGGAGGAGCAGGTCAGGGCTGCCGAACTCGACCGTTGCATAACCGCTGGCATCCAGAGACTGCAAATATATACAACAATCAGTAGCCTGCTAGGGGATTTCTTCAAAAGTGTTATGATGAAGAAGGGAATGACTGAAAACCTGTATGTGACATTTTATCATGGATCCATGGTAAGATCTAAAATTTGGCTGGACTACAGAATGTTAGACATTTTCTTGAGGGAGAAAGCAACTTTATTAACATCAAGCATCTGTTACAAGAGAATTTGGGAGGAACCTAATAAGACCTAAAAAATGACTCCAAGATAACTGCAGTGTACATTCACCTTCCATGACAAATACTCCCTCGTCCGTAATTACTTGTCCCTCAAATGCATGTATTTAGCACTAAAATACAACTAGATACATCCATTTGAGCGACAAGTAATTCCGGACGGAGGTAGTAAGAAGTAAAGGAGATCAACATGAGAACCATGTAGTAATATTTTCGTAACACCCATTTCAGGCATTTTTACACCAAGTTAGAACATGCAAATGGAGGGTGGAGCTTCCTCCGGTTTTCTCTTTCTTTCTACTACCATCCAGCAGCAATCTCTGATACACGTACAGCATTTCAGATGAAAGTATTCCAAAAGAAATTATCCAGAAAAGGTAAATTAATTGTACTTCTGTAGCTTCCCATTTCACCAGCTATATTGCCTGACCACACACACTGAAGTGGCCCTTGTTTCACTCGATCTGTTGATATCATTAAAGCTTTTCAAAATTTCCTAAAAATAAGTGGGATCAAGGTAACCAGGGACCCACAGTCTGTTAAAATCTTAAACTCAACCTAACGATGAAACCCAAAACACACAAATATACAATGAATTGCGACTTTATGCCACTTAGTTATTAGCATTCATCTTGTGGTTCGTCTTTCTCATTTCTTGGTCTCTTGTTTGACTACATATTTGAGCAATTATTTTTCCGCAGTTTAGTTCATCAGAAATTCAATTTTGCCAAATGTACCATCTCTCACACTATTCACTAGCTTCATTGTTCTTCTGGAAAATTTGGAAACCTTTTATGGTGAGATGCTCAATAGCTGGTCCATAACATTACCACAAATGCAAGGACACTATGAGATGTGACCTAAAGCAAAACTAAACATAAATCACTACAGTTGCAAGGTATTCATGATCTCTACTTGATAGTATTTGTTAGGTGCCTGTTCTGCAAATAACATGCTAGGCATCAATTATTTGCCATTATGTGTGCCAAGCCGGTAAAGTCGCCTAGAATAGTTATTTCGTCTGTTGTCAGGATGCACTGTTCAATTTCCAACAGGGAGGTGATATGCACATAAACACTAGACCGTTGTTGAATGTTTTACAAATAATCATATGACCCATTTCCTCAAATTGAGAAGGGAAACTTTCCAATCAGAAGTATGTGTATTTGCAGACAGCATGAACAAAATAAATCAAGTTGACAGCTTGTTACCGCAGATAATTTTCTTTGAAACTAGAAACTTACTGGGTATCTAGCATGGAGAGGAAGCTCCATCACAAGGTTGCAGTTCATTGATGTGCTTGGCTTGAGATCAAAATGAATCTCAACAGCTGACAGGTTGGACAGAGCTGAGGGAAGCTCCAGGTTTGTGTCTCCAAAAACAGCAACATCAAGAAAAACTACAAGATTAAAAGCAAATCATCACAATGTAAATGTATATTAGTGTAGTTGACTGGCTAGCTCAGAGTTTTATCTCACCTTTTCGTTCAACAAAATGATGCAGCTCGAATGGGTCAACAAAGACCCCACTAGGGAGGCTCTCAATTATCACAAGATTCGCATCATAGTCATCAAGGAATTTTACCAAAGTATCTTCGCTGTTACCAAATTTCATGGAATAGACAAGACGGCGGTGGGAACCTTCACCAACAAGTTGCCGGTGCGATTCCAAAAGCACAGGCACATCAAGGTCATTAGTGAGTCCTTTGCACAAGTCAGAAGAATCAGGTACGTCAGCTAAGCCATTATGTTGAGCAAGCGGTGGCGTGAAGGTGCCGGGATATGCATCAGAAATGTATATCATAGAGCAGGGCATGCAATTGAAAGATTTCTGGCTGCACCATACCTGAGCGGAACTAGAATTAGAATTTACAGACAAAAAATTTGAACGTCCTGGAACAAAAATGAACCAAAATTTAAAGTAGTGCCTAAGTAGTTGTTAACATTGTGGCTCTTCTTAATCATCAAACACAGTTAACTAGCACCAGAAAACCTAACTCACAGAGAGTAACTCAATCTAACATAGGATGGGTGCACAAATCCTGCTGAGATTTATGTCAAAACTAAATTATCAACGCTAAGTGGCAAGAAATATGCAAAGTCCCCAAGAAATGGTGCTTGTACGAATTAAATTTTACAACTACATCATCAATAATTACGCACATATTCAGCATTATTCATATATGGAGGCAACAATTACGCGCGTGCGCGCACACACACACAGAAAAGCGGATGATCTACCAAAATCAATTTCTGCTCGAGCTACACCTCATACAGGCACCAAAATCCTGGAACTGAATTCAGCAATGCAAAACAAATTATGTAGAAAATCCCACGTAGAATCACACAGGCAAAAATGTCGGATTCAACCCATGTGTACCTGCTCGCTCAGCGACGAAGCAGCGGCAGCAATGGAGGTCCAAGCGGCCACAAGCCCCACAGCTAGCAATTTTCCATGTGGGGCATGCGGATTCAGCAGACCTAGAAACATCTCTGAAGAAGAAGCCGCCCTAGTACCTGGGCAAAGAAAAATCAGCGACTATCTGAGCAAAGAGAGAATAATTTAGATCACTCGCTGCCAGCACGGTAATGAAGATTTGAAGAAACCCCAATAGTGAAACAAATTCTGGGAACACATATCCATCCAATGGAACCAGGGCTCGGTACCAATATTTGAAACCTGGATCCACCATGCCCTGGATTGAATTTTGCATTATACTGCTGGGTGTACAGAGTTCCAGGAACGGAACTAAAACAACGACAAGAAGTATGGAACGGAAGGGGTAGTTTATTTATGCAAAAGAGAGCACTTCACAACAGCTTGCATATGGTGGCTGTGTCTAGATCTCTAAATCGGGAAATGACGAGCGTGTGTGCACTCTACTATGGCGGAATCAGGAAAATAACAGTATCCTAGTACATCTCAGAATCCGTGCGGCTGTATCTCCATTTCATAGGGGGAAAATTCAATCCAATTACACATTCACATAATCAGATTTCACAATTTTGCGGTCCTCCAACTAGACTCTAGGTCTCAAGCATATAAGCGGAAGAAGAGAGCGGTGCGGCAAAAATAATACCTCTCCGGTCTGTGCCGACCGCTCCTCGTCGCTCCCTCTCCCGGACGTGCGCTCCGGCACTCTCAGCCACAGGCGGCCTTGTTGTTCTGGTGCTTGCGTCGCAGAGAATGGCGACCTGCGTCTGTGATCCAGTTTTTTCCCCTTCTTTTTTCTTTTTTTGTGTGGAGGGACGCAGGCGGAGAGAGGCGGCGAGATGGCCTGAGAATGGGCTAGGTCGCCGCCGCCGGCGTCGCTTTGCCTTGGGCGCGAGAGGGGAAGAGGCCGAGAGAAAGGGGAGTTTTTCTTTTTTTTGAACCACACATATTATATTAATCAATAAAACATAATACAGGCGCATACATACATGCGGAAACTATCAGAAGACTGGGACATGCGGAAACTATCAGAAAGACTGGGACATGACAGATGTCTAGAAAACTTTGCAGAAAGAACTCCACACAAAAAAATATTACAAATAAATCTATTGAAGTCTCTGCAAACAACCAAATCTGAAATAGCCGCCAACCACCAGTGCCGTCGAGACGCACACCGGGGAAAGAAACAGAGCACCAGCAAACCAAAATCAAGGCCAGCGCCATAGCCTGGTAGGCGTTGTAAGTCGAAGACCAGACCTATAGAACAGGCACTTGACGATGTGGCGTGTCGACCGAGGATATTCCCCACGCCAACCTGGATCCAGATCTGACGCATTCTGCCGTTGACGGGGAAGAACGCCAAATCTGCAGCCATCGGGCCACCAACCATGTACCAGCATCAATCTGTCCCACTTGTCGGGCTCGCCATGAGGGAGGACGACATCCAAACACAAGAAACATAAGGCCTACCGGTCCGAACGAATGACAAGCAGACGAGACCATCGGCTCAGCGGCGTCGCCGAAAAGGAGATCACCGTGGTGAGGAAGAGGCCGAGGCCACATTATTCGAAGCATCACCAATCTCACCAAATTGGTACTACTAGACGAAGACGAATCCCTAAATCAGTGGAACAACAAGAAGGGAAACACCAGCCCACCCCTCTCCACCAGCCGCCGGAGCAGCGGACAAAGAGGGGTGGAGATCTGGCCTCACCGGCGGGCAGTAACTGCCGCTTCTATCGTCTCAGAACAGAGCGAAGCGGTTCGCTCGTTCGGGGACGAAGCGGTACTTGAGAAAGGGGAGTTAATCGCAAGGAACTACCACACTTTGGCGCATTGTAACGAATTGATACCATTAGTCATTTTTTTCAAGTCAGTATCAACTCTAAGCCTAAGTGTTGCAAAACGGTCTGACAGTCGTATAAGCACGTATTGACTGTGTATCTGACCGAGCGGGCCCACATGTCAGGTGACACGATGGTGTACCCGCGCGCGTCGTGCCGCTACTCGGACCCACCCGGCTCAATCATTGTGGCTCGGTCGAACCGGCCCGAACAGGACGAACCCTAGCTTTCCTCTCCCCTCTCTGCGCGGCTCTCTGGCGATGGCGACGGCGACTCCCGACGGCGGTGACAGTGCGGGCGGGTACGTAGACCTTCTCGGCCTCGGGAGCGATGACCACGTAGGTCTGGACGACGGCGGCTCTGGTTCTTACTACTCTAGCGCCGATGACGAGGATTTGGAGGAGGAGACGACGCTGTCCATGGAGGACAGGGTGAGGCTGGCAGAGATTTGGGTGGCCAACCCTACCAGTAGCCATCACTGGACCAGTGGAGCTGGTGGTGGCGTGCTGTAAGTGCCTCTCGTCTCTCTTTCTTTCTGCCTATTTCAAAAGAGTACTGGGGGGCTAGGGTTAGTTGCTCATGATATTTTAAACTTTTTTTTTCAATTGTAGTTTCGATGTTGTTGTTTGGTATGTTCGGATTCACTTTGATGCACAACATAATTTGGATAGGAAGATATGCAGCTCAGATGTGACATTTCTGAACCTATATGCACTGATGCAAACACGAGGTTTTTCTTTCTCTAATGAACTGTACCACATGAAGAATTTAGGTAGAGGAGAGGAGGGAGAGCATGGCTTATAATTGATTGACACAAACATCAAACTGCAGCAACTAAAGAAGGAATATGAGCATAGTTTAGTTCTGAATTTGCTAGTGAGGGCAACATCACCTTTTGTATGTCAAAGAGAAGAAGATTTAGTGAGATAAAATTTCAGTAATGTCTGTCAGAGCAAAGAAGATTTAGCAACAATATTGTATGAACCAGCTGTTGTGTATGATCTCAGTGAGCCTGTAGTTCTTGTTGTTGATGAAGAAGGTGTTGTTTTTCATAGTCAGTGCGGCAACAGTCCTACTCAACCTACTGTTGTGTGCACACAAGAGAGCGGAAACTTCGGAAAGGAGAATCTCAAAGCTGTAATGGAGGAAGAGCCAGTGTTAGAGGAGGCACATAATAATAGTGATGACTTTGAGGTTGCATATGACAGTGATAACAATCCTTTCTGCATGGAGAAGTACATGATTTCTGAAGACACATAGATAATAGAGGGGAATATATTAGCAAAGCAAGAAGATGACGATCAAGATGAAGATTGGATGCAGATTCATAGGAGGAACTGTTGGAAATATGCCCTAGAGGCAATAAGAAAATGGTTATTATTGTATTTCCGTGTTCATGATAATTGTCTATTATTCATGCTATAATTGTATTGACCGGAAACCGCAATACATGTGTGAATACATAGACCACAACATGTCCCTAGTGAGCCTCTAGTTGACTAGCTCGTTGATCAACAGATGGTCATGGTTTCCTGACCATGGACATTGGATGTCATTGATAACGAGATCACATCATTAGGAGAATGATGTGATGGACAAGACCCAATCCTAAGCCTAGCACAAGATCATGTAGTTCGTATGCTAAAGCTTTTCTAAATGTCAAGTATATTTTCCTTAGACCATGAGATTGTGCAACTCCTGGATACCGTAGGAATGCTTTGGTGTACCAAACGTCACAACGTAACTGGGTGGCTATAAAGGTGCACTACGGGTATCTCCGAAAGTGTCTGTTGGGTTGGCACGAATTGAGACTAGGATTTGTCACTCCGTGTGACGGAGAGGTATCTCTGGGCCCAAACGGTAGGACATCATCATAATGTGCACAATGTGATCAAGGAGTTGATCACGGGATGATGTGTTACGGAACGAGTAAAGGGACTTGCCGGTAACGGGATTGAACAAGGTATCGGGATACCGACGATCGAATCTCGGGCAAGTACTATACCGCTAGACAAAGGGAATTGTATACGGGATTGATTGAATCCTTGACATCGCAGTTCATTTGATGAGATCATCGTGGAACATGTGGGAGCCAACATGGGTATCCAGATCCCGCTGTTGGTTATTGGCCGGAGAGTTGTCTCGGTCATGTCTACATGGTTCCCGAACCCGTAGGGTCTACACACTTAAGGTTCGATGATGCTAGGGTTATAGGGAAGGTATGTACGCGGTTACCGAATGTTCTTCGGAGTCCCGGATGAGATCCCGGACATCACGAGGAGTCCCGGAATGGTTCGGAGGTGAAGATTGATATATTGGACGAAGGGTTTTGGAGTCCGGAAGTGTTCCGGAGGTACCGGGTGATGACCAGCATGACCGAAAGGTGTTTCGGGAGCCCCGACAAGTGTTGGGGGGCTTCATGGGCCAAGGGGAGGGGGCAAACCAGCCCACTAAGGGGTTGTGCGCCCCCCTCACCTATTCCCACGTGACCAGGGGGTTTGGGCGCCCCATCTAGGGTTCCCACCTCCTGGCTTGGGGGCCAAGTCACCCAAAGGGGATATCCCATCTGCCCTGGCTGCCGCCCCCCTAGGGGAAACCCTAGGGCGCCTCCCCCTCTCCCTTCCCCCTATATATATTGGATGTTTTGGGGCTGCCCAACAAATGAGTCTCTCTCTCCCAAGGCGCAGCCCTACCTCTCTCCCTCCTCATCTCTTGTAGTGCTTGGCGAAGCCCTGCTGGAGTACCACGCTCCTCTACCACCACCACGCTGTCGTGCTGCTGCTGGACGGAGTCTTCCCCAACCTATCACTCTCTCCTTGCTGGATCAAGGAATGGGAGACGTCACCGGGCTGCACGTGTGTTGAACGTGGAGGCGCCGTTGTTCGGCACATAGATCGGAATCAACCGCGATCTGAATCGCTACGAGTACGACTCCTTCATACGCGTTCTTGTAACGCTTCCGCTTAGCGATCTACAAGGGTATCTAGATGCATTCCCCTTCCCCTTGTTGCTAGATTACTCCATAGATTGATCTTGGTGATGCGTAGAAAATTTTGAATTTCTGCTACGTTCCCCAACAGTGGCATCCAGAGCTAGGTCTATTGCGTAGATTCTATGCACGAGTAGAACACAAGTTGTTGTGGGCGTTGATTTTGTTCAATATGCTTACCGTTACTAGTCCTATCTTGTTTCGATGGTATTGTGGGATGAAGC